TGTCACCTTCCGGTTCAAATTGAGCATAAGGCATTATGGGCACTGCGAAATGTTTGCCTTGATTCTTCCGAAGCTGGGCGAGAAAGATTTTATCAGCTAGATGAGCTAGACGAATGGCGAGCATTAGCATTCCACAATGCTAAGCTATACAAGGAGAGGATGAAGTTTTATCACGACGCTCATATTAAGCAGAATAAGGTCTTTCGCGAAGGCGAAAAAGTGTTGCTTTATAATTCTCATTTGAGATTGTTCCCAGGCAAGCTTCGCTCCCAATGGACCGGGTCTTACACAATCACCAGAGTCTTCCCTTATGGGACTGTAGAGTTTAGAGGGGAATCTGGAACGTTCAAGGTCAATGGTCAACAGATTAAGAGGTATTTCGGTGAGCAGTTTCAAAAAGGGAAAGTGGAGGTTAAACTTCACAAGTGAAGTAATCGCGTCAAGCTAGTGACGTTAAAGAAGCGCTGAACGGGAGGCAACCCGTTATTTATCTCTTCTTTATTTAATTATTATTTTCTGTTATTCCCTTTTTTGAATAAATGAACGGAGACTTGTCGCACCTGCGTGGGGGCAAGATTTTATATGTGTGTTTCATATGCAGATGCCTCACAGACCAACATACCCGACTGCCTTGCGTGCCGATGTTCACCTAGTGGGTTCTGGACCCATCCAGCGCTTTGAGATGTGGGGCCGCCACCGCTCTTTGACGGAGTCTGTGTACCCGTGTCCTCGCCGACTACGGGTACGCGGAGGAGATGGAGCAGCTGCTACAAGGGACGAGGTGGCATCGCCTCCTCACGATGCGGGCTGAATCCAGCCTGCCCCTGACGATCGAGTTTCTGTGCTCTCTAGAGTTGGAGCCATCTACAGGGTCGAGGTCGCTGAACTTCCAGTCCGTCGACTCTCGCACCACCCTCACCTTTACTCTCCTAGGGCGGGGATTTCAGCTGACAGTCGCCGATCTGGCTACACACTTGGGTCTCTACACATTGGAGGAAACGTCGGCGCCAGAATTCGAGGCCGCACCATACCTTCTCCCTGCAGACGTTGATCCTGCTGACTTTTGGGCAGAGCATTCCTTCGATCCAGACCGCTTTGAGGGCATGGGTCGAGCCAGGTTTTGGATTCAGCCGACTTGGCGAATCCTATCTTTTGTGCTTTCGACGTCCTTCTTTGGAAGTACGTCAGGAGGTGAATGTGGCTGTCTTTGTGGCCCGGTTCCTCTATAGCCAGTCTATGGGGAATCGGATGCACATTGTCTGTGGTTTCGTGGTCACCATACTCTTCCGATCACTCGAGGGGACGGCACCCATTCCGCGGGCCCAGATGATGATGCGAGATTTGGATGCAGGCATGCTGAGGAATGCTCACATCCGTAGGAGGTTGGGAGCTAGCTTCCTCATCTGCGCCCTCGTCCTCAGGAGCATCTTCGCAGGTCTCATCTAGGAGAGCCACTCGTCGCCGTCCCACTTCTCAGGCCACTCCAGCTACGATACAGGCGGATCCGACCCCTGAATGGGCTAGGAGGATCCTGGAGCAGCAGAATACCATCATGCAGAGGATGTCCGAAATCGGAGAGCAGCAGGCATCCCAGGCTGAGAGCTTTGCTCAGCTTCGGAGGACCTTTACTAGCTTTTACTCAGATGTGCACATTAGGCTCACCCCTCGTTCTCCTGAGGGCGACGATCCATCCGCCTTAGTTCCTCCACCTCAGTGATCTTCGTATTATTTTCATTTGAAAACTATTTCTCTTCGTTTATGAGCAGGAATTGATGATCAACAGGATTTTTCGGAACTTCTTATTTTTCCGCCGGTAACATCTACTTATGCACTTGCTCCATTTCTATTTCAATCGACTCCTTTTGATTTATTGATGTGTGAGTTCTTTTGTTATTAGTCAATCATTTCAACCCGGTATTATACTCCTAACATTTTTTTTTCCAACTGCGGGGACGCGGTTGTGTTCAAGTGTGAGGAGGGGAGTTACCTGGTTGAAATGATTGAATGAAACGTGTTTTACTTGTATACTTGTAGGCAACTTTGGTTTTAGCATAATCATCAGTCCAATATTGAATAGTTGATTGGTAGGGTGTCAAGCATATAAACTGAGAATTTTCAAGGCTTTGGCAAACTCCTATTTTTATGTGATTTTTTTTCGAATAGATCACTACCATTGCTGAAATTAACTAGTATTCTCTTAAAAGTTTTTTTTAAGTCAGATACTCTAATTACTTTTAAAAAAGGCCATTGATTTCACTAGAATTTTTAACAATGTGTAAAGGTCTGCATTAAACTTTTGCTTTTTGTAACCTTTAATCATGATTTTTCGCTAAGATTGCGCTTAAGTGACGAATTGGAAATTCTATCTCCAGAAAAGGGGCTCTGCTTCTCCCGCTAATCGCATAAGGCGAGGGAGCAAGTATGCATTTGTCATAGAATAAATCCACGATCTTGGTGAAATAATTAAGTTTCTGTGAAAGGGGAGGTTTTCTCGTCGAGAAACAATACAAATTGAAGTTATTAAGACCTTTACATTATTGGCAATTATTCGTGAACAATGGGCTTTAGAAGAGGTAGTTGAGTCTATTTGATCTTAACAATTCTGTTAAGAAATACATTCATTTCAGTAAATGGTTGACTTCTATTTGATTTAATCAAGTAAAAATACATGTTTGGCGAAAACTTGGCATATTTTCAGAAGAAATGAGAGGCAACTCTAAAAGTATAGCTATTTAACGAAGTCTGATGATTATGTTAGGTGAATTGGCCTCATAATGATGCAATTAAAGCTCTTTTCAGCAATAATAATAGAATGTCATACCCTCAGTGGTCAGAAGTTGTTGCTTGAGGGCAAGCAACGTTTAAGTGTGAGGAATTTGATAAGTTCATTTTGTTCTTATTTTATTCTACATATTTTAAGCGGTATTGCACGAAAATAGTGATAAGCAGTACATAATTTTATGTTAAACTGAACAATATCTTTGATTTGTTCTTTAAGGAACAATAATTGGTTTAAAGTTTGTCCAGTCTTGATTGTTGATTTTTCTACTCATATTTGGAAGAAAAAGAAGTTTTTAACTGAGAATTTTATCATGAGAATATCGGAGG